CTAGTCAGGCCCCGGTCACCAAAATGTCTCTACGGAGCGACCCCCCCCCAACGTTCACTTCCGTTTTCGTTTTCTTTATTATATTTTTTTCTTGTTTCTTTCTTTGCTAATTATCTGCCCTTTAATCCCCGCCCCCGCCCCCCCCCCCACCACACACACACTTTTTTCCCATTTCCGTTTGTTTTTGTTTTGTTTTTTGTGTTTTTGTGTTTTGTTTCTGTAATACGTCGATCTAATCTGGGAGAATCAATCCCTGAATCAATGCTCTTGATCGAACTGTTTCACTGTAGGCCGATCAGATGATTACAAAATGACTAAAAAGCCAATGTTGTACCTTGCTCCGAGGCTGTGGAGCAATGCTGGGCAGTGTCGTGCCTGCGCCATGGAGCGATACTGGGCAATGTCGTGCCTGCGCCATGGAGCAATGCTGGGCAGTGTCGTGCCTGCGCCATGGAGCAATACTGGGCAATGTCGTGCCTGCGCCATGGAGCAATACTGGGCAATGTCGTGCCTGCGCCATGGAGCAATACTGGGCAATGTCGTGCCTGCGCCGTGGAGCAAAGCAAGGCTCAAGTGTGCGAAAAGGGCCCCACAGGTCTCCGAGTCAGTGACGGCATGCAGGTACGCGGCTTGAGTTAATCCTCTTGGACTTCGCTGAAACCGTTTAACGGAAGTAATGGAGCGTGGTAGAAGTAGGACAAATGGAAGCAGACCAGGATACTGGCTCCACCGTTGAGCATAGCTGCTGATCATAAAAACACATGAATCAATTGTTAATCAGACTGTAAAAAAAAAAAGAAAAGTCAGACCGTATGTTATAAGTGAGTTGAGTTTAAGGCTGGGGGTGGAAAAATAGCTTCGGACGGCTAATTGACCCCCCTTCCCGTCAACGTACCGTCTTGAAATTTGGTACATAGACGCGTTGCCAATCACAACACATCCTGTCAAATGTTCAACCCAAAACCCCGTCCCTTCCCCCCCCNCATACAACAAGACCCACGGGCCAAGCTCATCGTCATGTCATACAACAAGACCCACGGGCCAAGCTCATCGTCATGTCATACAACAAGACCCACGGGCCAAGCTCATCGTCATGTCATACAACAAGACCCACGGGCCAAGCTCATCGTCATGTCATACAACAAGACCCACGGGCCAAGCTCATCGTCATGTCATACAACAAGACCCACGGGCCAAGCTCATCGTCATGTCATACAACAAGACCCACGGGCCAAGCTCATCGTCATGTCATACAACAAGACCCACGGGCCAAGCTCATCGTCATGTCATACAACAAGACCCACGGGCCAAGCTCATCGTCATGTCATACAACAAGACCCACGGGCCAAGCTCATCGTCATGTCATACAACAAGACCCACGGGCCAAGCTCATCGTCATGTCATACAACAAGACCCACGGGCCAAGCTCATCGTCATGTCATACAACAAGACCCACGGGCCAAGCTCATCGTCATGTCATACAACAAGACCCACGGGCCAAGCTCATCGTCATGTCATACAACAAGACCCACGGGCCAAGCTCATCGTCATGTCATACAACAAGACCCACGGGCCAAGCTCATCGTCATGTCATACAACAAGACCCACGGGCCAAGCTCATCGTCATGTCATACAACAAGACCCACGGGCCAAGCTCATCGTCATGTCATACAACAAGACCCACGGGCCAAGCTCATCGTCATGTCATACAACAAGACCCACGGGCCAAGCTCATCGTCATGTCATACAACAAGACCCACGGGCCAAGCTCATCGTCATGTCATACAACAAGACCCACGGGCCAAGCTCATCGTCATGTCATACAACAAGACCCACGGGCCAAGCTCATCGTCATGTCATACAACAAGACCCACGGGCCAAGCTCATCGTCATGTCATACAACAAGACCCACGGGCCAAGCTCATCGTCATGTCATACAACAAGACCCACGGGCCAAGCTCATCGTCATGTCATACAACAAGACCCACGGGCCAAGCTCATCGTCATGTCATACAACAAGACCCACGGGCCAAGCTCATCGTCATGTCATACAACAAGACCCACGGGCCAAGCTCATCGATTTCGAAGAGTTTCCGAGTTTTTCATCTCATCTTAAACTGTTTGACATCTTCGGGGCTGTTCGAAAAAAAGTGTTTGGGGGGGGGGGCGAGGGGGGGCGGGCGCGAAGGGACGACCACCCCTGTACTATCTCAAGAGGGCGCCAAAAGCATTGTTAATTTATTTTATATTTTAAATATGTTTATTATTACACAATGCTTTTGTGTTAAGAGATCCCCTGAATTCCTTTTCCCAGCCTCCCACTATAAAACAATCACATCGCCTCATGGCCGCGGGCCGCGGTCGGGACTGTTTGCAGTGGGGTTTGGGGGGGCATGTTAAAAAATATCTAATACAAATAATTGTGAATCTATGTCTTAGTTATGTTTAATGAAGACCCTACACCCCTTTTTTAATTTTTATTTTTTTTATTTTCTTGAGATATGAAGTCTGGAGCATGGGCTCAAATGCCAACCCCCCCCCCCCTTTTTTCACCGTGCCTCTCCGGTCGTCAAAGTTTGAGTTGTATCTAAGGGATTAACCTTTTCGGATTGAGTGTCTGGGATAGTGAGACAGGATGAACCTTTTCGGATTGAGTGTCTGGGATAGTGAGACAGAATGAACCTTTTCGGATTGAGTGTCTGGGATAGTGAGACAGAATGAACCTTTTCGGATTGAGTGTCTGGGATAGTAAGACAGAATGAACCTTTTCGGATTGAGTGTCTGGGATAGTGAGACAGAATGAACCTCCTCGGATTGCTTGTCTGGGATAGTGAGACAGAATGAACCTCCTCAGATTGAGTGTCTGGGATAGTGAGACAGAATGAACCTCCTCAGATTGAGTGTCTGGGATAGTGAGACAGAATGAACCTCCTCAGATTGAGTGTCTGGGATAGTGAGACAGAATGAACCTCCTCGGATTGAGTGTCTTGGATAGTGAGACAAAATGAACCTCTTCGGGTTGAGTGTTTGGGATAGTGAGACAGAATGAACCTCCTCGGATTGAGTTTCTGGGATAGTGAGACAGAATGAACCTCCTCGGATTGAGTGTCTGGGATAGTGAGACAGAATGAACCTCTTCGGATTGAGTGTCTTGGATAGTGAGACAGAATGAACCTCTTCGGATTGAGTGTCTTGGATAGTGAGACAGAATGAACCTCCTCGGATTGAGTGTCTGGGATAGTGAGACAAAATGAACCTCTTAGGGTTGAGTGTTTGGGATAGTGAAACAGAATGAACCTCCTCGGATTGAGTGTCTGGGATAGTGAGACAAAATGAACCTCTTTGGGTTGAGTGTTTGGGATATTGAGACAGAATGAACCTCCTCGGATTCAGTTTCTGGGATAGTGAGACAGAATGAACCTCCTCGGATTGAGTTTCTGGGATAGTGAGACAGAATGAACCTCTTTGGGGTTGAGTGTCTGGGATAGTGAGACAGAATGAACCTCTTTGGGGTTGAGTGTCTGGGATAGTGAGACAGAATGAACCTCTTTGGGGTTGAGTGTCTGGGATAGTGAGACAGAAATTGAAAGGCAAATCTTTGTGTTACATCGAAGTAACTTCGAGTTGTGCTGTTTTCCTGTAATTGCTTTACTGCCCTCAAACCAGATACTTTTTTATGAACCCGAGATGTCGTATTGATTGTCACGGTGACCTTGAACTTGTGTTCACGTTGGGTTCATCTGTATGTGCCGGGAATAAGATTGATAACAAAAAAAAAATATTTTAAAAAATTCGTCGAAAAAAAAGGCAGACAAAAAAACCCCGTCTGTTTTAAATAACAAAGGGCTATAACAATGGACTTTCTCGGAAAAACAACGATATTTTAAGGCTGCGTCTATTTGCACCCGGGTACCAGAAGTGAGAGGTTGGGATTCAAAAAAAATATATAAAACATTATTGTTGGGTTTGTGAGACAAAATGAGGTATCAAATGAAAGATAATTGAATGGACTATATATTTTTAGACTCACTTCTTAAGTTTAAATAAAATAAACTACCGCTCATGACATCTGAATAGCATCGGTCTAATGGGACCCGTGTGCCGAATGGCGGCGCTGCGTGTCTGGGTCCATTTTAACAAGGGTTCTTAAATATTTTAAAAGAAATAAACAAACAAAAACAAAGAAAGACACACAAAAAAAATCCGTACCCAGTCTTGACTGTACCATCAAGTACATACTTTGTCTCCAGTCTTGACTGTACCATCATGTACATACTTTGTCTCCAGTCTTGACTGTACCATCATGTACATACTTTGTCTCCAGTCTTGACTGTACCATCATGTACATACTTTGTCTCCAGTCTTGACTGTACCATCATGTACATACTTTGTCTCCAGTCTTGACTGTACCATCATGTACATACTTTGTCTCCAGTCTTGACTGTACCATCATGTACATACTTTGTCTCCAGTCTTGACTGTACCATCATGTACATACTTTGTCTCCAGTCTTGACTGTACCATCATGTACATACTTTGTCTCCAGTCTTGACTGTACCATCATGTACATACTTTGTCATTTTGCTGGATACAATTTTTTTTTAAAATGTTACTGTTACAACTTAGTGTACCGCATATAACAACGCAACGTGCAGTTAATGAGACGTGTACACAGTTTGAGAAGCGTTGGTGTTTTATATAAAGCTATGGATCCATAAACACCACTACGACCACGTACAACGTAACTTAGTTATTGGTGCAGAAAAAAAAATCGTATATATATAGAGAGCTATATAGAGCTATACTTAAAGTCAATGGCGTAGTTAGGGTTGGTGTCACCCGGTGCGGTCCGCGGTCCACCCCCCCCCCAGCAACGCCACTGTTTTAAGTCGTTCAACACAAATATGGAGCAACCACTTGTCACATTTATCATTTTTTTAAACAAACAGTTAATCTGAAATGTTTCATTCTCCTTGCAGGGAAACTTCTTCGCGGGACTTGACGATGGGTTCCTAGCCAGAGCCGAGGCCATGGGGGTGATGGACATCTCAAAGCCCTCGGGTGGCCACCAGCTGATGAAGCCGGAGGGGCTGTACGGACACACCCCTGACTTCACCGGCCACAACGGCGGGCCACCACGTCACCAGATGCCTATGCACCCCCACCCCCACCATCACCCCCACCCCCACCAGCATCACGGGTTCGGGCCCTCCGACTCCATGTTCGACCAGCTGACCGGGTCGCCCAACGGGCCCCCTGGAATGTCCCTGGGGCCCGTCCCCTCCATGTCGGAGCACCACAACAACCTGATGGGCTCGGGGGGCCCTGTCCACCCCCAGCACCACCAAATGTACACGCCTATGTACTCCCACCCCTCGTCCGTCGTCAACTCGCACCCGGGGCTCCCCCCGCACCCGGGGAGCATGCACCACCAGGGGGTCCACGAGTCGGACTGCGACCCCCGGGAGCTCGAGATGTTCGCCGAGCGGTTCAAGCAGAGGCGCATCAAGCTCGGGGTGACGCAGGCCGACGTCGGCGCCGCCCTGGCCAACCTCAAAATTCCCGGGGTCGGCTGCCTGAGCCAGAGCACGATTTGCCGTTTCGAGTCACTGACGCTGAGCCACAATAACATGATCGCCCTCAAACCGATCCTCCAGACGTGGCTGGAGGACGCGGAGAAGCAGGCCCGCGAGAGGAAGGCCGAGCTGGAGAACGGACTCAACGGGGACAAGAAGCGCAAGAGGACATCCATCGCGGCGCCGGAGAAGAGGTCCCTGGAGGCGTACTTCGCCGTCCAGCCGAGGCCGTCCGGGGAGAAGATCGCGCAGATCGCCGAGAAGCTGGACTTGAAAAAAAACGTTGTGAGGGTGTGGTTCTGCAATCAGAGACAGAAGCAGAAGCGGATGAAGTTTTCCGCCATTGCCGCCGGCATGGGCATGGGGCACCACTGACGTTGTTTCGTTGACCGCGTCCGGTTGTGAACGATGAACGTTTTTTTTTTTGTTCAGAATGCCCCCCTCCCCCACCCCCCTTTCAAAAATGTGCACTGAACACAAATTCATGCAAAAAGAACTAAATGTCGTGCACTCACGTGACACAATTCAAACCAAACCAATCTGAGATTCATCTATAAATAACCAAGTGAGACACAGTGTACATTTTCCTTAAAGCGTTTTGTGACGTCAGCTCATGCGTCACAGTTGGGGAGGAAATGAAGTTACGTTAAAAAAAAAAAATTCTTTTATTGCTGTTCACATCGGTTAAGACATCCTATGTCTTTATCTATAACCACCCCCCCCCAAACCGTGGCAACCCATGCAACAATTCCCCCCACCCCCACTGCATCAGCTGGGACGTGGTTGAAACTGTTGAAAGAATGCTATCAACACACGTTGACCCAGCCTCACGATCTACTTCACATGTGCGTTTCCTTTCTGATCAAGTCTTCTCGCCGATTGTTCTTATTGCGAGTGAGCTACTACCCCTGGCACTGCCAAACGGGTGGACGCTGGTCTGCTGATTCCACGGCAGGAACATTCTTCTGACAGACACGCGCGAACTCGAATGGGGTCCAAGAATCAATTCATTTTGGACACAAGTTTGCATATTTTTTTTTAATGGTGAATTTCTTTGAGTGACGAAAAATTATAATTTTGGAAATTTTAATCAAGCAAACTTAGAAGAACTAAACAAAAACAATGAAAGACAATGTCACGTGATCATCGGCGGAGTGAATTCCCTTTGAAGGCTCCACGAAAAGTGCTATCAACAGTTATAGGGAAAACTTTACGAAAACAATTTATTATAAACACCTTAGTACGTACTTTTTAAAAAGGTATCGTTTTAAGTAAAGGTATCGTTGCAAAAAAGTATCGTTATAAGAAAGGTATCGTTGTAAGAAAAGGTATCGTTGTAGGAAAAGGTATAGTAATAAAGGTATCGTTGTAAGAAAAAGTATCGTTGTAAAAAATGTATTGACGTAACCGAAGCTATCGATGTTGAGAAATGAAATGTAATGATTATGTTAAGAAAGAAATCTCTAGACAACATCAAAATAAGGGGGGGGGGGAGAGGGGGGGATGTTCAGATTTTAAAATAAAAATAATAAAATTGGACTTCATTTTTACCTGTGATACATCAAACCCTAGTACAACAAAGGGATACGTTTAAATATACGTGTGTAATGTATTCAAATATGAGCCAACCCATTTAGGGGTCAAGGGGCAACAACAACAACAACAACAGCAAGTCAATCGCCATTTTCGACAAGGTGACATTTCGGGAACAACAAACTTGAGCAGTATTCTTCAATTCACCTAAAATTTAAAAAAAAACAAAAAACAAAAAACAAAAAACAAACTAACTGTGCCACGCCCATACAACGGAATAATACGTCTTCAAATGGAAACGTGTCCAAAGAAAGATTAACACATTGCAAACAAAAAAATGTCCATCCCATTCCAGAAGTCACTATTGACAATTGAACTATGAGTACGCCACCAAACTTAAAACCTCAGCTGTTGCTACAGCATTTCATGGGCCAGCCAATCAAATGAACTGTACTTATTTCAAACTGTTCGACGTCACATCTTATCATTCATCACTCGTCCTCGCCCGTGGCCATTGTGGTCTCCCTCCACCACAATCATCAACATTGTCCTTTAACCCCTTACTTACCCCCTCCCCCCCCCCCCGTTCAGTTAGTACCACCCAAAGTTCAGCTAGTCCCAACCTAAGTTCAGTTAGCTCCACCCACATTTCAGTTAGCTCCATCCACATTTCAGTTAGCTCCACCCACGCCCACGGTTCAATTAACCCCACCCACAGCTCATTTAGCTCCACCCACAGTTCAGTTAGTCCTTCGAATAGTCCAGTTAGCTTCACTCACATTTGAGTGGGCAACCACTCACATTTCGGTCGGCTACACCCGCATGTCAGTTAGCGCCACCCTCAGTTCAGATCGCCCCACTCACATTTCAGTTAGCTTCACCCACATCTCGGTCAGCTCCACCCACAATTCAGTTAGCCACACCCACAATTCCTTTAGTTCCACCCACAGCTCAGTTCTAACAGGGCAACTTTTCACTTAGTTCCACCCCTTCCATTAAACAGATTTACTTTAAACTATGATCTCACTCTATTGCTCCAGATTAGACTGGTTTCAAAGAGAACATTGGAAGATCAATGCATTTCTATGTCTTATATTGTCATGTACTTATTTTTTTACAAGACATGCCAGGTACATCATATTCCCACCAACCTTTCGCCATGATCTGATACGACATGCCAGGTACACCCTCCCCCCCCCACCCAATGATTCGATACGCCTTTTGAGTTTATATATATAAAAACATATAAACCCTTGCTTTCCCTCCTTATCACGATACATATACATATCTCATTTGTCCACACATTTAAAGCAATCATAACGATTTTCAAGCACAACATTCACACACACACAAAGCAAAATGAACTTTTAAAAAAAAATGTACCGAAATGTTGGTTGTGTGTACAAATGTTGGTTATGTGTGTACAGATGACCGTACACTCTATTCATCCCGATGATGTTCCGTGTAAATGTTTTTTTTTTTAAAAAAAACAACACAAGTCCCGTAACTCTACCTGGTTTCATCGACTTTTTTTTTTTTTTTTGAAACACAACTCGCAAGCTCTCTGGGGTTTCCCGTTACCGCCTGGAAAGTTCTGGTTTTTTTTTTTTTTTTTTTTTTGTTGAAACACAACTCGCAAGCTCTCTGGGGATTCCCGATACCGCCTGGAAAGTTCTGGTTTTTTTTTGTTTTTTTTTTTTGCTAATGTCACTGCACAATTTGTAAATAGCACCCTGCATTATCAATTCCTGACAACCCCTCTCCCCCACCCCCTCCCACACACTCCCATCTCCCCAGCCCCCACATCCCTACGCACCAACTGACTCATGGAATATGTTCATTGTATTTTTATTTTATTTTTTGGTGGTGTATTTTTCAATGTATTGATTACTGCGGCCGACTTACTTAATGTGTACAGCATGTTGTTTTTTTTTTGGTCAAATGTCCACCTCTATCATTCTGTATTACGTGAACGTATTTCACACTGTCCGGCATCGGTCGTCGTCATGACAAGATCCGTAGACGACATTCGATCTGTACAATGATTGTGTACACAATGCTTGTATCAGATGCAATCTGCACACGGCGGCCATTATTGTACACGCAGTGTATGTTTCAGGTCAGCGTGACCTTCACGCCAACGATTTCCTACCATTACAGCCAACAAAACAACTGTCTGTATTAATATGTATTCATTATATGTTCAACTGCGCTTCATAAGTACAGGGGCAGACTAAAATGGGCAACAAGGGCAGGTAACCTCAGCAATTTTTAAAACATCTATTACATAGTTTGGGGCGCTATGTATCTCATCTGCAGCCCCCTACCCTCCCCCCGCCCCCCCCCCCC